CAGCAGGAGAAATCCCTCCTCCTTCCCCTCACTCGACACCTTCTGCTCCTGAATAAACTAGCGTGCCCCAGAAGCTGCCTGACCCGAATCTCATTTTAACCTAGAAACATGCTGCTGTATGAACACCTTTTCAGCCCAAATAAAAAAAAAAAAATCTACATAAATGTTTCCACACTCTAAGAAGCTCCTGTATAGAAGTAATGAACCATTTTCTGTAACACACCAGCGGCGATGTATGTATGCCCATCCAGGCAAAGAGGGCTCTCCCTCCTGGGGAAGCAGGCACAGGTATACGCATGCTTACAGACATGCATCGCTGCTATGTGCTATCTGGAGAGCACCAGGGACCGTGGAGAGTTGGGAGTTTGCATGCGTGCAAGATGTCACCTCCGTAGAGCACTGACTTCAGCCTCATGTCACTGCTGCAGCCTTTCCAGCAGAGGATGGCGCTCCTTTCTGTGACCAATTGTACAATGTCCCTCAGGAGTAAAGCTCCCCACAAAGCAGCATCCAGCCTCTCAGCCCCATTTTTGCCTCCCTTGGGCTGCTGGCATCTTACAGCCAGCCCCACGCAAGGCTTCCCGGAATGAGGGACAGCAGAGATGACCTTTCTAAACGCCCTGATGTGAGCGCCCATGAAGTGCTGTCTCCATGGAGGATTTTAAAGCCTTTAATTTGATTTCCTCACATAAGCAATTGTTGCAATTATTCTGATTAGGAACAATTAGGTAACACAGCAGTGTAAATCCTGACAGAGACAATGCATCGACAGCAACCTGCAGCCCGAGCGGGCTCTGCTTGAGGAGGTTTCCTTCACTATTTGACTACCAACAAAAGCTATTGATGGAGAAATACTTCCAAGCTAATTAAGCCCTAAATGCTGTAGGAATTCAACATTAAGCAGATGGCATTATTAGGGCTATATCTGCATTCGCACATCCTCCAGATTAGATTTGAGAGGCATTTTCTTTCTATACTACATGTATTATTGAGCATTTAAATAGGTAGAAAAAATTAATTTAATAAAGTGCTGAGGGAGGGGAAAGAAAATGAAGGCAGAAGCTCCCAGAGCAGTGGTCTCAAGCAATGTCTTGGTGCTTTAAAACTGGCTCAAGCACGAATCGCCTCTTCTCCTATCTACTGGCAGGAGTTTGGATATCTTGTCAGCACCCTTGACGTGAACAGCTGGAGATGACAGATCAATGGTTCAATACTCTCAGCAGCATGTCACCAACGTGACAGCAAATGTTATTCTAATGAAGCTGTAATCATAGTCAAATTACGCGGTTCGATTCTCAGCAAGGGGAAGGTGCAGGGAAA